ACACACACACACACACACACACACATAATAAACACACTGGAAGAGAGGGACAGGAAACAGGTATCAAAACTTGAACGTTGCTGTGACATGGTAAGGGTAACTTCCCTATTTTTCAACCTGGACCCTATTTGACCATGTTTTTGTTTGGATGGGACTAATGTGGATTGTATTGATGGGGAAAGCTGGAGACAGCAAATGTGCTGCAATGTAATCATTTGAAGAAATTTGGCACCATCATTAACATCCACTTTTTTAGCCACTGACAGCATTATTGAAAAAGTCTAGCTCAAGGAGATGTCTCGTTCTGAAATCTCATGAGGTGACATGTTGCTGGGCAGAGTTTGAATATAATATATTGTTTTAGATAACACTGAGGTATGCTTTCTGTCAAGGGCGTAGGTTTGGTCTCAGCATTGGTAGGGACACTGCCAGCCGTCGTCCCCCCACCATCTAAAAAAGTCTTAGTTGATAATTCAGGGGCTTTTCTAGGATTCAAAGAAAGGGGGGGCTTAGCCCCAAGGGGAGTGGCATGTTTGCACACAATTGTTTTTGGGGCCCATTTGGGGCCGAGGATATCCATTGTTTCAGACAGTTCATAGATTGGTTCAATCAGAAAGAGTGTGATTTTGCTCTGTAGTTTTGCTTGCGTTCAGTATATGATAACACAAGAGACAGAACTTCAGGGTCATAGTGAAATTTCACAACACAAATATGAACTTTTCTCAAATAAAGAATATCCGCATCACTCCCAAATCCTAACTCTTAAAGGGACTGCACACAATGGATGGAGAATGGACCTGACAGTGTCAACTTTACATTGTTAAGTATGATGACAGGCTATTGGATTGTAATTTGAAGGGGGAGAAAACATACAAACCAGAACATACGCACATATGTAGCATGTTAGAGTTATAAATAACTTGTCCATGTGAGAAATTTAATTTAATTTAATGACATCACCAAAATAAAAATAAAAATTTTTTCCTTTTTTTTTTTTAAAGCCAACAATGCCAAATTATTTGGGGGGGCTGAAGAACATTTGAGCCCCCCTAAAATAGGCCTAACGACGCCCCTGGTTGATATTATGTTGAACAGGCAAACTTTATTAAAATATATTAACATTTGTGTAACTTGGAACTGATTTAATCATAATAACAGTAACAAAACCTTAGTTTAAATACAAAACAGTATTCTGCACCAAATAAATAATAATAATAATAAATAATTAAATAAATGAATAAAAAATGTTCTGCTAAAATGTCAATATACAGTAACAGTATATTCTATATCCAAAATATATATAAAAAACTTTTCCCAGTTGTGCAGACAAAAACGACAAAAAAAATTAAAAATAAATCTATTCTGCAGCACTTAATAGGCTACAAATAAAGTGCTTTCCTCCTTTATGCAATTATTACTAGTGCTGGGCAACGATTACAATATTTAATCGCGATTAATAGCATGGATTGTTTGCGATTAATCGCGATTAATCTCATTGTTATGGCAAAGTTTAATAATGAATTCAAAAGTAGTGTATTGCGCACTTTTATTTTAAAAGTACTGCTATATGAACTAAAGGTCAATAACATTTGGTTTGTAAACACTTTAAACACATCAGGTTGTTGTTAGCAGCAGTGTTCTCTTCACACAGCAGCAGTTCTATCTCTTCACTATCTGTGCTCAGTGTGTGACTGTGTGTGAAACGTTCCACTGCTGTGCAACAGGAACAACATGTTCCACACGTTTCATCTACATGTGTGTGTTGTGTCTTCATGACAGTCAGAGCATGTGATGCAGCTCTACTCTTCATCACTACGATGCTGTAACTCAGAGGTGATGATGGTGACCCAGCGAGCAAAGAATAAAGACACTTTACGCACAATTTAGGTGTATTTTCCCTTTAACTCACGAGATGCAGGTAGCATGTTTTATACTTAATGTGAATATAATTCATACTTTGTTGGCATCTTATTCTGAAAACCGGATGTCTGTCTGAAGAAACCGGATGCTGTCTCACATTAATCTTTCCAAAGTCCTTCACTCGCTCCCGATCTGTGCCGTTTGAATGCGTTTACCGTGAATTTGGTGAGGAAATATTGGTGGGGACAATTGTGTCTTTCCCAAACTTTGGTCGTGACTAGTCCCTATGGACCCTATGCAAACCTACGCCCTTGCTTTCTGTACCCCAACACAACAATGTCATGGCTGAGTATTTAGAGGAGACAGATGACCATTAGGCCCCACGTATGTCATATTCTAATGTAGCGGCGTAAACAGGGTCTTCAATGGTATGGCATCTCTATTAAGAGAAACACACGCACAAGCTCAAACCCTACCTGTCCTCCAATGCCATCATACTGGCGGTGCAGCAGGACAAACATGGCTCTGACCAGCTCTGGATCCTCAATAACTGACTCCTGAGCCCAGCGGACCATCGTATCAGAAATCAGCTGCTGCAACGTACCTGCAGAACAGAGACAGAGTTAGGGAGTGATGGCGGGGATTGTTGGTCCACAATCAGAAAATCCTATTTCTTCTTTTCTTTCCAGATTATTTCACTTTACATTTCCAAAACAGACTCCAGTGCTGCTGCAGTATTGTTTATAACCTCCAACAAGCCCAAAGTGACTGATGTGTGTACAGCATGCTGATTATTTTGCTGTTGTCAAAGGCTTAAGCTTTGTTGATAATTGCGCGAGGCACTGCGAGCTACAAGCCCGCACAAATGCATTTATGCTCAACGTGTTGTTTGTTGCGGTATTTTCTGAAACGCCAGAGGGGAAAACAACAACGAAATATTCTGTGAAGAAGATTAACAAAATATTCCGTGAGGAAAATACCACAAACCGAACTCCTGAATGCAAAGGAGGAATCAAAAGGAACTATAAACTCATATTCATGGACTTTGTGGCCTTTTTACAATCCCGGTGAAGAAAGGAGTCAAGTATTAAATGTATGACAATGAAATGAAGGCTGAATGTCCTAAAAGCAGTTTGATTCCACTGGACAAAGATCTCGTCAAGAGTAGATCTTTAAGATCTCCTGCATTTAAAGCATTCAAAAACAAACGTTTCATCTTTCTAATTCATTATTGTACTTCTTTATTTGAAATGATTTGCTTTAATGTGTACATGTGTACATTGTACCCCATTGCTCTAGTGCAGAGGACTTACTGGGTTTCCTTTCTTTTTTCTCCTTTGGCAGGTTGCCCATCTTCTTCTTCAGGTAAGCCACCTTCTCCACCAACGACATGAGACGTCCCCGGATGGTGAAGTCACTGTCCCCATCTATCCCTCCCTCCTCATCCAACTCTATACCTGTCGGAATGGAGAAATCAGTGCACTGTGCAGACTGTAAGTTGATAGTTAATGACTATACAGAATATAGATATTACTGCCACATGTTGTTATTATTATTAATGATCCCTATTGATCTCTGTCGGTAACTGGATATCATTTGAATGTTTGGTTGGCTGGGTAGGTGAAGCTGATTGGTAGTTTACCACAGTGTCTCATCAGGTCCTCGTGGAAGTCCAGCAGCTGTTCTCGGATGTATTCAGGACAGGGACACTCCTGCTTCTCGTCCTTAAAGTTCAGCAGCATGTTGATCTGAAATGACACGCGCCAGGGACTGTGATACGAGTCCAGTTCATTGAATACTTCCACAACAACCATTAAGATTACATCACTGAAATCCAACACGCATTTGTTCATAGTGTCTGAGTGTTGGGAGCGTGTTCCGGGCAGTGTAGACTAGGGGGGTCTGCAATGCATTCAAGGATTCAATGTGTCCAGCAAAAACAAGAGCAAAAGTATGGAGCAGTGCCTCAGTGTCAGTACAGTTTCACACCATTGTCAAATAGGAGAGAAAGAGAACTACCTGATGTCCCGTGTTCAGAGGCTGCAGCTGAATATGTGTATTTAGGTGATACAGAAAAAGTGTTCTTCTGTGATACACTTCTTCTACGTTGCATCATTATCCTCCTGCCCACTCTACTCCCGCACAAGCTATCCCTCTGCACCGTTCAGTCCTCCGGACCAGGCTCTCCCTTCCTCAGAGGTGTTCCTACCTGCTCCTGTGGAGGAGATCTGAACTCTTTGGTCTTCTTGGCAGTGAGGGCTGCAGACATGTTGAGTGCCAGCATCACCTCGTTGTAGCGGAACCGCTGGTTGTCTTGGAGACAGGCCACGAAGTCGTCGGAGAAGGCCACCGCCGCCTCGATACGATGGCGCACCTGGCAGTCACACAGGTACTGCAGCACGTGGCACATCTGCATACACGGATCAGACACGTGTTGGCTTAACGACATGCTATGATGAAAAAGGTGCAACAAGTTTGTATGGAACAGTCATCGAGCTTTGCTGTCATTGCAGATTTGAAAAGGAGCTGCTTTGAAATTGTTCAAACTGATTTTGTTTGTTTTGATTCTTAGTGAAATCTGGAAACCTTGAGAGGCAAATGAGACAAAAAATGGGGGATCTACTTTCTAAATAACAGGTGAAAGAAAACTGATTTCAAGTCCACTTGATATCATTGTTTTATTTTATTTAATTATTAATACATAGTCAAATTATCAGTGAAATTAACAAAGAAAGAAGCTGTTTATTTGACAAAATGATTTATTGGTGTTTAAAAATTATCAATATTTGTTAGTTTTCTGTAACTTCAAATGCTATGCACGGTATATCACACATAAAACTAAATGTAGATATTAAAACATGGGATTCTAGATCAAGTTTTCTATAACTTTAAGGAGAGCTTCATTATCAGTGAAAAAAACAATGACTGTTACATTAAAAATGATTCGTAAAAAGCACTATGTCTGTAATCCGATGTAGTAAACAAGTGGAAGCGCATTTACAAACTGAGTGTCACCTGGAGTTTTACAGGTTCGGGTAGCTTCATCTGTAACAGTCCTTCTTTAGGCATGCTCCGCCCTCCGTCCTCTCCTCTTCCCTCAGTCTCCCCCTCCTTCACCGCCTCCAGCTCCGTGTGTGTGTCCTCCTGACCTTCCCGTCTTTCAGCGAACACGGACGGTTCAATCAGTCTGAGGATGTTCTTCAGATCTCCACTTTTGAAGACTCCCATGATGAGCAGGGTGTAGAACAGCTTGATGAGGGGGACGAAGAGAAACTCAGTGGTGCCTCCTATTGGATCCCGCACGTGCATGCTCCCCTCCCGCACCGCCTCCGTTAGCATCTCGATGGTTTTCATCTTCAGTACGTCTAAGGGGAACTCAGGGCTGTACTGGAAACAGTCTCCTGATCCGTTGTTGCCGGCGTTACGATACGACGGTCCGTTCCCACAGACAAAACTCGGGGATGAAAAGTGCATTCTGGGTCTCAGGGAGGTGCTGAGGCCGATGCCTGGCAGGCCATGTTTCTTCTTCTCATTGGGGAACAAGGTGATGCTCTTGGTTTCGTCCGTCATGGGAACAATGTACTCGTTGTTCATCATGAGGCGAGCTGTGGTGTAGCTGCTCAGGTGGATGTCGATGAGGAGGTCGTAGTAGCCCGCACGTAGCAAACCTGGGGATGAGAGACGATACCTATAAACGTTGAGCTAAAACATGAACCCTTAATCTTACCATTTATTACCATTGTTACTAGTGAACATAATACACCCATTACCTGGTAGTACCAAATACATTCATTTATTCTCTATATAGGTGTATATGGCCATTTCCTGACATCATCTTGAAGGAGACAGCCCAAAGTCAGACCCTTCTTAACACTAGTTTACTGTATTCAATTTGTCACTTAGATGACGTCTGGAATCTTCCTAACAAGCATTATGTGTGTGTGCATCACAACTTAATATATCTTCTTCCTCTGTGTCATAGAGCTCCATTCTTATCAAAAAAGTTCTGAAACACATCAATGAGCCACATTGTTGCACTGGATGACATGTTGCTTCATCACCATTGTATTTTGACTCAATCCCATATGGCGTGCTTCTGCCACAAATACTCACTAGAGATCCCATTGTGAATAATTCGCCGCTGAAAATAGTCCCAACACGTGACATAATACCTTCTGTTTGAGTAATGTGTGTTCAAATAACAGTTGCCAGCTGTTGTAGAAAATGATTAAGCCTATTTATTTTTATTTTTCTAAATGAAACTACATATTTGTGAGCATTCTTTTAAGACTTGGTGTGCGAGAGTTACGGACAGAGTAAAGAATTCAGAAAGTATCGAGGACGGAACACATTATTGGGTCTTTTCATGGGAGTTGCTCACAATAAAAACAGTATAGAATAACACATACATTTCATTAGTATTACCAAAATACTTCTTCCCACTCTTCCTGCAGTTATTCCGTCCTGCATCATGCAATTATGATCCATAGGTGTTGAAATCTCAATTGACTTCTTATTATGAAGTAAACTATTGAGAGTTTAGTTCATGGTCTATGGCTCGGAGTATTACCTGACCTCTACTTATTTCTCAGGGACAGCCTCGAACGCCTTGCATGCGGGCGTTCTGTCTTTATGTCCTGTGTGTTACCTGGCATGTACTTATTCTCTATAGCCTGCAGGAGCTGTGCCTCGTCTACGTGAGAGCAGAGGGCGTGTGCCACCCGGTTGTTTCCCAGAGCACAGATTGCTGAATACAGTCTGAGGGTGTGATAGTGAAACTTTAATAGGTCCCTCTGCTCTGACAGCTCCAGGATATCCACCGACCTGGACAACACACAGAGAGATGCTGCATAAGAAATGAGAGAGCAGGAAAAGGAAAAAGGTGTGTGTGTGCATGTGTGTTCTTGTACACGCTCCATAGTCTGGACCAAAATAAGTCTATATTCACAGAGTGGGGACACTTCTGCAAAGGCCTTTTTTAGGGGCTAATACTTGGTTTTCAGGTTCAGGTTAGAATCATTTTGTTTTGTAAGGGTACGGGTTAGGCATTTAGTTGTGATGTTAAAGGGAAGGGCAAGGGGCTTGGCAATGTATTATGTCAAGTCAATGAGTGTCCTCACCAAGATAGAAGTACAGGGATGTGTGTCAGGGGTGGATTGGGACAAAAAAAATCGGCCCTGGCATCGAAGGGGGAGAACAAAGAAACACTGGGCAGATCTAAGCTGTGTATTTGTGTGCGTGTAGCTGTGTGTACTCCACTTGTTCTCCTCAGGTATGTGCAGAGACATGAACTGCAGAGGTTTGTTACACTGGACCAGCCAGCCATGTCTGTCATTCACTCTGGATGCTGACACCTGAAAAAAAAAAAAAAAAGATAGATATATGTGTATATATATGTGTATATATACAGTATATATCTGGAAGCACTTCGCAGACAGTATACATTACATTTCATGTTGCTTTCCACCCACTGTACAGCACAGCAGACAGTTCACCATGCTGCCCATACGCAGGAAGATAACATGGAAGAGTCATAAGACTAACCCAGAATCATTTCTACACTGTCTCTATAGAGACAAGCATTGGTGAGGCTTTCCCAGTGAATTCAAAATGATCCAAATCAGGCAGGCAATCAGTTTCTTCTAAGAAGGGTCTTGTGCTGCATACAAGTGAGGTAAATGTAAGATAGAAGCTCTCCTAATTGTTCTTTACATTTCTTTTCAGAACAGTCAGCCTTTAAATCCCTTTTCTCTGTACATTGCAAACTATGTGATTCTTCTGTTATATATCAGCCAAAACAAAACCAGAAAAGAGCCAGAGAATGCAGGCGTGCTGTCGGAGTTGTTACTGTACCTTGAGGAAGTGGTTGGGAACGCGACTCCATAATACAGGAGTGAGGAACTGGACATGCAGCCTTGGAGGACACTGAGGAATTGGGTTCTTCCTCTCACTCTTAAACAGACCAGCTGACAGAGGCATCACATTCTGACAGGAAACAGACATGTTCACAGTGATACAACATCACATAAGGCAAAGCTGGACAGCCCAAAGAGGACACTGTGGACATATTCAAACTCATTATGCATTTTTTGTTCTGGCAACCAAGAGTCGGTTTTCACATTAGTGCTCATTATTCTGGTGTTGCATTAGACATAAACATCAACCCAAACCGACATGACATGAGAGACAGTAGGGTGTGGTCATTACAAAATTCAATTTTCATTTTGAGCATTTTGCTGTTCTGGCATCAAAGTGTCACAAAACACACATCAAACCAGAAAGCTGTTACTCCTCCCCCTACAGAGGCATTATAACAAATTAATAACCAAGTCTCCACAAATAATTCAATATCATTTTGGTTGTGTTTCTTGTGTTTTGTTTCTCCATTAATCAATAAAACTTCTCCACCTGTTAACTACTAGAAGGCTTTTATTATGAAGCAGCAACAGGAAATGCAGGTCACTTGTCACCAAGGTTAAAAGCAACCTGCCAATCCTCAGACACTTTATTTTGAAGACGAAGCTGTATGTGTGTGTGTGTCCGTCTCACCTTAATACGCCCAAGTTCAAACTGGAAGACATTGGGGCTGGTGGCCTTGGCAAAGACTGCCGGGAACAGCTTAGTACTGGGCTCCACCTGTGGGGACGAGAGAGAGCTTAGCTAGTTACTTAAATCCAACTGAATGCCCTGTTCGCTAACCAAAATCAGGTTTTTTTCAATGGAATTGTGAGGAAGGTGGGCCGATGTAAATCACTAATTGGACGCTGAAAGGTCAGGGGCACAAATAGACAATGTAAATAAACTTCCTCGGTTAACTGTAATTTAAATGCGAAAAACAGACAGGGTTTTGTAGTCGCAGTGGTGTTGAAGAAGCGGATTTAAAGGTGTTCAATGTGCTCTATCTGATTAGAAAATAAGCTATCTAGCCTGCTGCAAACTGATGTTAGCAGTAGACTTTTTCCAAGTTCATGTTTGCAGAAAAGAAAGAGACATTAGCGAGAAAGCTAATGTGAGTTGTTGATCAAAGTCCGTGGCTCTTTGTGTTGTGTCTGGGCCTGCAGCCCGACTGTTAATCAGTGTCACTGCAGGCCGATGAAAGAACGCTAATCTCACTTTTTACACAGCTTTAATGAAATGATGTGATTGGCTATGAACAGAAGTATAATGTGTATGAGCAACATTTCAACTGGTAAATTTAAATATGGGGGAAACATGAAACCAAAGAACCATACAGATTCGTATGATTTACTGAGCCTATGCATGCTGTAGCAGAATATTTCATTTGGACGAACAAATATTGAAAAACAGGAGAACATAGCGGGTGCCAGTTGTACTGAGAGGGACTTATGTTAGGAGCAAACAAAATACATAAGAAGAAAGAGAAGTAAAAAAGGCAGGAAGGAAGGAGGCTCATTTTTGTGAGTGCAAAAAATGAAAGGGAAAAGTAGAAAGAGGATGGGAGTATATGACACAGCAGGAGTTAAAGGAAAGGACCATTCACAAACCTGAGACACCATGTCAAATATTTACCTGGTAGTAGGTGCTGAGTTCTTTCCCGTTGGCTGTAAATGTCAGCAATCCGTTTGTCGTGTCGACCAGGCAGCCAATCTCCAAGCCGTTGTTGTTCCTCCCCTGACCAGGACTGCTGCTCTCTCCAGCCCACACCATGTAACAGTTACTGCGCTTTATACTGAAGAACACACACACAC